TAACAAAATTGCACGAGCCCTACGGGCTCGAAAAAATTAACAAGTGCTTGTTTATTCCAAATTGCACGAGAAAAATCATGTGATTACGTATTAATAATATACATGGAAAAATACGAGATGGCTTATCATAATTAAGCATAAGCAAAGCGTGCACATCAAGTGCAAAAATAATTTTTCAAACCGTGCGTTCGTTCAAAACAACCGCGTACGATCAAAACAATAATATGCAATGATATCTTCACATCCTTAAGGCGCAAAAAAGTTCAAGTCCGGCTAAACAGTTCAAGGAATTGTCCAGTCTGTGTTCGAATCACTTTCGATGAAATGGAATCGTCGTTTCCGAGGTTTAACCATGTTTGTTTTTAATTTCGGCGTTGGATCGCTCAAGCAGAGTGTTAAGCTGGGTTTCGATTAAGTTTTCGATTTCCTTGGCAATTCCCTTTTCTAAACACCACTTTTTCCAAACCGACAACCAAAAAGCAATTCTTTTCGTTTTTTGAGCTGTTTTTCAGCTGCGGTGGCGAAAGAAAACCTACGTAAAACGCCGGCCGTTGTTTCGCTCGCAAATGTTCAAATTTTCAAATTTTGTTGCGATATCCAAGGCTCGCATATGATTGGCTATCTGTGAGTTTCTTTGATTATTGGCCAATCAGAATGTCTGGTTTGTAACTTTTTTTGCACTGAATTAACCCTCTTCTGCACTGAATTAACTCTTCTGTACTGAATTACCTGAAAACTGCATTTATTTTAACCATTCAGAACTGAATAATTTTTCCATGTATATTATTAATTACAAAACAATTCAGATACGACAGTCAAACAACGAATTCAAGCTCTTGGGAAAAATGATGACTGTTCGCAGTTTGCCAAATCATTCACAGGAAAGGCGGATGTCATCTCAAGGAAAACTCTAGGCTAGGAGTTACATACTAACACTATTATCATGACAGGATTTTTTTCCAGATTTCATAACATGATCTCATGACCAAAGGAGATAGGAAAATTGGTTTCTTGCCATACATGAATCGGGTATCTTTTTGATCATACGTGATTACGATGCTAGCCATTCAAAAGTAATGAATACCACGGAAGAGGAACTATTGATCAATTTATAAAACAAACGAACAAGGTTAGAAAAAATTTGACAAAGTGTACCCGAATTTGTATTCACGCAAATGTATTACATTGATAGTCAGCATCATCCTTAGTCGCATGAATTGAGAAAAGTTTTCACGACCTCATGAACGAAAATATCATTGAAATGAAATATTCGGATGAATGGCAAATAGCGAGTAAGTATCATTCCATCAAGAGCTTCAAATTCACTTTTCAGGTATACTTTTGATCAAAGCTACAAAACAGTGGTAATTTTCGATCAAAATTTAAATGCTGAAAAGGGCTTATTGAATCATTGTGGCGATTTAAGCCGGAATACTTAGCAATGATATCGATGATGGAAGGCAAAAGTGCACGAAAATGATGCGCGCAAGTTCTGAAACCAAGTTGTAATTACCTGGACAAAATGTCCAAGGTGCAATTCAAGGATAATTGTGGGGAGTAACTTGCACGCCGTCTGATCAGTTTAAAAATTGCGATAAACTTTGGAGTACAGCACGTCAGCAGCATTGCAATTAATTATCTTACCTTTCAGGTTGCAGCAGACTTCTTGATTCAAAATAGATCCGTCTTTCTCCGCGCACATGAAGATTCATCGATCGCTCGTCGGTACAGACTAAAAACAACATATGTCGTTCAAAATTATGGAGGTTCATCCAAAAGTCTTACCCCCTTTGGTTGATAATCCAAGAAACTGATAGACAGGATCATGTTGCCATTAACTTGTCCATGTGATACTCCTAACAGAAGAATGAGTCTGTCTTTGGCTAATGCTTTTAGGGAAGCAGTTTAAGTCCGCAAGACAGTACACTCTTTTATTCACCTGTCGGTGAGTGCACTGCTCTTTCTTGTCAGCGATACACGCCTCTGGAGTAAGAAGATTTAATGGTCTGTCGTCGATAGAAACTTAAAAAAAGGTGAGATTATTTAGTTAAAAAATACTGTGTAACCTTCTATAGTATGGTGATTACCTGTTAGTACTGCACTGGTCCCTTTTTACTCACCCGTGAGTAGTGCACTGCCCCCCTCCCCCCCCCCTTTTACTAACCTGTTAGTATTGCACTAGCCCCTATTTACACACCTTTTAACGGTGCACTTGTCCCTTTTTACTCACCTATTAGAAGTGCACTTGCCCCTTTTTACAAACCTGTTAATGGTGCACTGCCCCCTTTTTTACTCACCTGAAAGTAGTGCACGGCCCCCTCCCCTTTTACTCACCACTTAGTAGTGTACAAGCCCCTTTTTAATCACCTGCGACTACGGTACTTCTGCCTTTTTATTTACCTGTTGGTAGTACACTGGTCCCTTTTTACTCACCTGTTAGTAGTGCACTGGTCCCTTTTTACTCACCCGTGAGTAGTGCACTGCCTCCCCCCTTTTACTAACCTGCTAGTAGTGCACTAGCCCCTATTTACACGCCTTTTAACGGTGCACTTGTCCCTTTTTACTCACCTGTTAGAAGTGCACTTGCCCCCTTTTTACACACCTGTTAATGGTGCACTGGCCCCTTTTTTACTCACCTGAAAGTAGTGCACGGCCCCCCCCTTTTACTCACCACTTAGTAGTGTACAAGCCCCTTTTTACTCACCCGTGAGTAGTGCACTGCCTCCCCCCTTTTACTAACCTGTTATTAGTGCACTAGCCCCTATTTACACGCCTTTTAACGGTGTACTTGTCCCTTTTTACTCACCAGTTAGAAGTGCACTTGCCCCCTTTTTACACACCTGTTAATGGTGTACTGGCCCCTTTTTTACTCACCTGAAAGTAGTGCACGGCCCCCTCCCCCTTTTACTCACCACTTAGTAGGGTACAAGCCCCTTTTTAATCACCTGTGACTACGGTACTTCTGCCTTTTTATTTACCTGTGGGTAGTACACTGGTCCCTTTTTACACACCTGTTGACAGTGCACTGGCCGATCCCTTTTTACTCACCTGTTAGTAGTGCACTGGCCCCTTTTTACCCACCTGTTAGTAGTGCACTGAACCCTTTTTACTCATCTATTAGTGGTGCGCTGGTCCCTTTTTACTCACCTGTTGACAGTGCACTTGCACCTTTTTGCCTAACAGTTTAGTTTTGCATCAGCCCCTCCTTATTTACTTGTCCCCGAAAGTGGACCCTCTTCGAGCTAGCAACGGTATAACTTCTTTGAGAGATTAGTGCTCCCGAAAAGTGAGCAAGTTGACATGAGTTAATCTTTTTGAGAAAACTTTATGTGATGCCAACCGAAAACTTGGCAGAAAGAAAAGACCAAATGCCCGTTGCAACCACAATGCCCCGAAAGTGGCACATTTCGAGGCCCCCGAAAATGGTTCCTGCAATGAAAATTGTTAGTAATCTACGCCGCTTTTTACGCTTTGCTACACTCACTTCTTAAAAATACCACACAAGAGGCAGTGTTCAGATTTTATTTTTATAAAGTCTCTTTACATCAGTGTCTTACAATTAATTATTCTTCTTAATCCACAGGATTAATGAAGGAGGGATGTGCTCCTATGTTGAAAAATTTGGCGTCTATGGAAACTCTGGGTGTTCCTGTGTCAGTAAATGTCGACACCCCGAACATTTGAACATTGATTGTTTCCCACACGGTTCTTCAATGTCTTCACGAGCTCGCATACGACTCCCATTCGGAATTGAGCTTTCGTGCCCCGAATGTCCTCCAAATCTTGTGCCGAAGATACTCCGAACAGTCGAACGAAAAACTGAAAGAAATTTCGAACAGAAAGACGAAAGTATTTTACTCCGAAAAGCAACAACGCTCTTCAACCCAAGATTTGTGTATGAGCAAATATAATCTTCAGGGAAGGGATGAAGATCAGAATAGTTGTTGCACTTTCTTTACACGATTTCCCTAGCTCTGCCCTCTGGGAAAAGTAACACTGCGTGGAATTATATTTTTTTTCTGTATTTGTTAGTCTTTTGTCTTTTTTAAATTTTCAGCAAGGGGTAATCAACGCCTGATTATCCTTGTTCACTTTTTAAATGTCAAGGGAATAATTAAGGAGCGGTGAGTCAATTCAACTAAGCGTTGTAAAGTTGTGGGGGCAAACTTGTTCTTTTTTTCTTGTAATAATGCGTATCAATCTCTTTTTCTTTAAGGGCCCAAGGGTCTGAGCCTTCCCTCCATCAGATGGGTGGGGTTTTTGACTGCTACTCTGAAACGATATCTTTGCAACCAAAAGATCGCATATTATTACCTTCATGAATTATTCACAATCTAGTTTACACGAAATGTACCCAGGGTTAGAGTCTAGTGATGAAAGCAAAAAGAAGGAAAAACACAATTGTGTTTTCTAAATCAAATTTTGGACCTCTTCTCTCATCAAAAATTCCTGGCCATGGATCCACCCTAACGAAAGGCTTACCAAGTCTTTGCAAGTTTGTTTTTGTAATTGCAATAGGATCGAACAGAAACTTTCACTACATACGAGCAGGACTAAGAAAAGGGGTTCAGTCTCCCCAAACGTTTCGCCAAGATTGGACTTTCGCCCGGGGGTAGTAAAATAACGAAGTTGAAGTCCTTCTGAGGTAAGAGGAGGACGTAATTCCCTCTTTTACGAGCGCTACTTTAAGATAAGATCAGATACTTTTTTAGGAACTGAATTCATGAAGTGAAACACTGATTAACAATGAGGCTGTGCGTCTAAAATCAATCTTTACAAATGAAATTGGTGCAAAGTAAAATATCAACATTAGTTAAAAGCAGTTAAGTACTGTACTTATTATTCATTACGCTAACCTCATGAGCACTCATTAACAGCTTGAAATAACATGAGAAAAAACCTTTCTTGAGAACTTGCTTGTCTTGTCGTCCAGGTAGATACTTGATCCATAACCGTGTGTACGACCCACCGCTGACCACTCAGGTTCACTTCCGCCTTTCGAAACACGAAGGAGGTTCTTTGCTTTATACTTTAACGCTATCGCAGTGGGGAGAATAGAGGTCTTACCTTTATATCACCGCCTTGGATTACCAAACTAAAGGTACTTTAACGCTTAAGAGCGGCATCTACTCATAGTTCATAGGATTTGATATCTTGTCGAGCTAGAGATTCCGACCACTAAATTCATTCTGCGCCATGAATGACCTGAGCGAGAAGCGGCAGCCGCCTGATGCACAAAATATCTTTTACTGGTCAATGAATTGTAAACGTGGACTTAAGCGAGACAAGTTCCGCAGAATTATGTTTTGTCTACCGCAGATGGCGCTGAAAGTGCTTAACGGCAGCATGTACTTCATGCATTAGGTGGATGAATTGGATATACGTAGATGCATTATGTAGATGATGTGACGGGCGTAGCTAGATAAATCGGGTACTTCACCGCAGTTAGCATGCAATATATTTTCCTCCAAAAAACTCTTTTAATGTAATTGCGTTTTATGACATAAATAGATCAGTTTTCACCCGGTGAACTGTTCTTATTACGTCTACTAAAGAGATTAAATTAATACACCATTGAAAGCAGCTAACAGCAAAACACCAATGTATTGAATGTGCATGATTTTGCGAGGAGGGTTTTCCCGGATACTGATTTGCATTTTCGATAGCAAGCTTTTGCAGTGATTTTTCGAATCTGTTATTTGAGGTGACCCAAAACATCGCGCGTGCTAAAAACGTTGGTGTAGGAAGAAGTTCAGCGCTAGCTATGGAAAACTATAAATAGTGTTTATCTTTCAATTTGTATAGGTAATCCCATGATTCCGAGTGTAATTTGCGATCAATCAGCGCGATTAAAATGTTGAAAGGCCATCCAAATTGCACGAGCCCATAGGGTGAGTGCAAATTTTAGTCTTTGAAAAATTTGCGATTTATTCAAAATTGCACTCGAACTCATTTGAATACTTCTTAATGACATACATGCAAAATCGACTCTGTTTCGATATTTAGTCGTGTTCACATTCTGTCATGGATCACTGATTCGGCCGCTTGCGTTTTCATTGTTCTCGACGTAGTGAGGACTTTACCTCAAGCTAAGTGCTTCTCTTGTAATTTTTCACTGAAAATATATAGATTTAGCCAAGCCTAAAAGCTGAGCTATTGTCAGTTTATTTTCCAGCCCTTCACTGTAATAAAAACTACTGTAAAACTCTTCAGCACTGACTGTCGAAGAGATTTCCCCAGTCCGGGTGGGAGAGTATCGATGGGTTCGGAACCTAAGGATAATGTTCTCACAACTTGTGAGCGATCAACACACATGCTAGTCTGCGGTATTTCGAGCAGCTGAGGACTTTACTGTTCCTGATGTTTTGAGCAAATTTTCGAAGATATGAAATCTTTTCTTCTTCAAATGAAGTGTATGATGTCAGCATCAGTTGAAGTTCCTTTATATTGAGCGTGACTGATAATATCAGCTTGGGAAAATGAGCCAAAATGGAAAGAAACGTCAGTAAACCACTACGCGTTAGGACATCATCGGTCGATTGAAGAGTATGCATGTGCACGTGAAAACAGAGAGTCAGTAAAACAATACGCTAGAATCGTATGGGCTTCTCTTAAATCTTCCCTTGAAGTTGCCAGGTACGACTGCTTGCCCACCCTTTTTTCCCTAGCGTTTCAACCTTCTCTGATAAGCGTAAAAAATTAAAAGGAAAAGTCATTTTCAACTCGTGTTTAAACCTGTAATGTTTTTCCTTTTTCTTTTATGGCTATTCTTGTCCTCTGGCTGGATCTGCAAAACATTTTTTTTGAGATTTTTTTGTTATCTAATTCGATAACCTCTGCTGTAACTGTATATAATGTAGTGTCTTTAAGTAACTGTCCACGATCTTAGCAACTCTAACTACTGAAATACGAAATTGTCTAACATGCTTCTTACGCTGCGAACGTTTGCCTTAAAGGAAGACAAACTAGAACTAGAATATCATAATTAAAACTTGATGACGACGAGAGACTTAGGATTCGACCATGAAGACATTTTTAGAGAACTTGAGATTATATTTTACATCACATAAGTCAATTCCATACATCAATCAAGTTTTCTCTTTAGAGTAAAAGTTGAGTTGACGTTGTTATTGGCTATATTGAATAGGTTGAACTGTTTTAGATGGTATTTTCTCATGTTTGCAAATAATTGAATTTACTGGAGGGTGGAGCTGTTGCAACATGTTAACATGAAACACATCAATAACGTTATAGAGATATAAAAAGTTTTCATTTGACTATCTCCTGGCAAGTCTTTATATCATATTTCGACCCAATCGTTTTTCACATTTGTTGCATATACACCATGTTTGAAATGCCATGTCTAGAATAAGCTAACACGATTGAGGAGGGTGTATGTGGGAATAGGCTCTCTAGTTTGTATCATTAATTTGCCAATCGCTCCTGTTGCCAATGTTTTGATGAGGTTGGGCTGTCGGGGCAAAGGAACTGAAGTTTTAGCAGGCAAATTGACTTTCTTAAAACCTGGAAACTATCATCGTGAAAAGCCATACTTGTGCCTAGTAACTCATTCTTATTCTGATAAACTAGTTTTAAGAAGGAAGCAATATTTTATTACATAAATTTGATGCATGGGCTGTTCACAAAACTTGAATTTGTATAATATAGCCAATACCAATCCCTTCGCATAATAAATTGTTTGTAGGATCAGAGGGAAAGTTAATGTGCCAGTCATCTGCAAGATTTATTGTAATTATATAATTACATGAAAATTAACTGATACTAAGAGATCTAAGAATATTCAAAATAATATAAAACTTTGTTGAAAAATTTGAATTCAGCATAGGCCAGATAAACAAGATCCTTAGAAAAAGAAATGTGTACTAATGAAAAAACTAAGCAAACTTTTTTACAACACGAGCTTGTACTTGTATGGCACGTAGTAAAGTCATTCAAAATATTCATAATCCTGATATAAATGCTGAAAACACACGGGCATGCACGCAGTTAAGGTTAGTGAAGTAAAATTGAGTCAAACTTCCATACGATGACAGGATCAAGAAATTTTCATAACTAATTTATATGGTTTGCCTACCTGGAAAAATAACCTTCATGTACAAATTAGACCAGGTTTGAGAATTGGTTGCAAACCACATCCCTAGGTCTGTCATTAATTTTAAACTTAGAGAGTGCTTAAAAAACAGCAAATTGCTCATGCACAAAAGAGTATCTTGGTAGGGGGAGGGGCTTCCTTTCTTCAGTAAGATTGAGTGAGACTGAGTGACTACGTTGTTTGAGCAAATATCCAGAGGAGGATTAAAAGTAAGATATGGTCTGCACAAATCTCTTATTTAAATTTTTTAACCTATAAAGTTGAGGCATTTATATCTGATTAAATTAACTTTCATGTGTCAAAATACAAAAAATATTCTCATCATCTAAGTACCCTAAACATTACAAGGGAGGAGGCAGGTGAAAATAAAAACATGAATTAAAAGGGGAGAGCCCCATTCAGTACAGTCCTAATTAAAGGAGGATCCTTGCTTTCCAGATTCCTTTGAAACTCTCTGTATCATGTGACCGACTCCTTACATCAATGTTTATTTTGGGTATGAGCATTGGTAAGAAACACCATGCTCTTTTGAAAGCTTGAGTGAGAGTATTTAATGCAATCTAGACAATAATATTGAATGTTACAATGTATTAGCTAACACAGCAAAATTATATAATCAAACAGTTCTAAACAAAGCAAGTCAAGTTATAGACTAACCTACTTCAACTTTTGAGGGCTTAAGGTAGAGATGAATAGATGTGTTAAACAGTTATGGTACATAAAAATTTGAATGTGTGAAAGCTAAAATATATACATTAAAATTATCAAACCCTATGCATCCTAGCAAAAATAGGGTCAATTATCACCATTAATTCTCCCAAACATTCATGCTTATAGGAAATCATTTATTTAATTGTCACTAAGTAGTAGTGGTCACTAGGTAGTACTGTACTTACAATAGTTCTACGAAGCACAAATGCACTTTTTTTTCAGTTACCAGATAGTGTATGACTGTATAGGTCATGTGAAAGGTTCCTGCATAGGAACTGACATTTCAATTACATCAGCAAACAGTAATCATCAGAACTGCAAGCTAAGGTGTATTTACCAAGTGCTCAAGTTTCCAAATTAGTCATCTAATTGTTACAGTGGAGTTCTCCTCTTTTTGAGGCTATCTTCTGCTTGATCAGCCTGTTACATGTGGATTAGCATCAAATGTTACTCACATATTCAAATAATTATCGAATTGAAAGTTATAACTTTTTAATAACCTGCTTCTTAATTGTGATCCAGAAATAGTAAATGATATTGAAGAGAAAGGATAAAAGTTCTTGAAACTCTACTATAAATGAAACTTAGTAATGAATATTCATTGTGATAGCATTGAAAACATCTGTGAAGCTATAATAACAATTAACTTTCCATGTAAACAAACCATATGAAGCATGATATGAATAAATTAAACAGTTTTGATCTCACCCAGTTTGAATGAAGAATCCAAAATCTAATTAACTTGCAGGTGAAATGGAAAAACCTCAATGTGGGTTTTCCTGCTACAATCATTCTAAATATCACAATTGCAAATCAATCAATCCCCCACTTCAGTGTGATTTTTTTTGACAATGTGCACTTCTTATTGTGGCCTGACTATTTATAGTACCTATCTTTTACCAGTTGACATCTGAGAAGAATCAAGTCCACACTTGTAATTTGACACATTGTAGGCAAACCCTACAACTGATTAAATTTTATTTGATCAAAAACATGAAAGGCAATGGAGGAAATTACCTAGCACAATTCAAGTTTCCCTTCATAGGCTTTCTTGACAGTGCAAGATCTGGGTGTGAACTTATAGTGCAAGGTTTAAAACTTTCAAAATGAAAAACAAACATGGCAGCTCAATACAATCACATGATTGTTATCTGAAAAGGTGTTTTAAAAACAGTTTAACACAATACAGTTTTTATTTGATGGAAGCTAGGGTTTCCAGCAACTGCACCCGTGATATTCATAGGACTACACCTGAAAAAGAGATCAACCAAAAAGAA